CGAGGTACTGCCGATCTCCGGCGCCGTCATCGAACCATCTCTGATCTTTTTTCGCCATCAAAACCCTAACTGCTTTTGTTTGTGTGTTCAAAATTGAAACTTCCTGCATTTAATTGATTATTGTTATCACTCAGATCAAATTTTCTGCATTTATTTTCATTCATATTTATTGTTATTGCGCCTTTTCCTTTGTTTGAATGAGGAGGCATGTTTTAATGGTGTTAAACACAATATACGCAAATATCTGAATGTTACTATATAGTTTCTTTTAAATGAATTTTCTTGGGTTGTAATTGGAGTTTGTTAATTAAAAAGGGTATTTTGCAACTGTTAGGATTCCTAATTAGTATGATTTATCTATGTTAACAAGATTGTGCGAAAATGAATTCTTAATAAAATACTTGATATCTTGATTGTTGCTTGCTAAGGTTATCTTGGTAGTTACTAATGATTTTTATTTTCCCCTTGACACTTCCTGATATTTAGTGAAGAGCTCATCAATATGATGATTATAATTAAATATTTCGCATTCAAATACTTGCTGAAACTGTGCTACTTGATCATAATTAAAAGTTCTAATGCACGAAAATGTGTGTGTGGGAATAAATAAGAGGTTAGTGATTTTATTTTATTTTTTATTTTTTATTATTATTTTATTTTATTATTATGGATTCATAGGTTTTGAGAGATGATTGCTGCTACTAATCTGGCCTATCGTTCAGGTTTTGGTCTTTTTCTTCACCTCTTTTATAAATTTTATAATTTTTATGTTGTCCATTATATTGATATCTGTTTCTTGTCTAGGTTCAATTTTATGTAGCAGGCCGCTTGTTTCTATTCATCAGTCGAGTAAACTTCAATTGCGGCTTCTTAAGGTTCGTGCTACATTGAACTTTTACTAACTGTCAAGTAAATAGATTATTTTGAATTCATCCCGTACTTTTCTCATTTGCAGGTTCCAATAAAAGCAATTCCACATCCTTCTCCCATTTATAGAATCATTAAATGTGCATCGAGTGGAAGGAATGTACACCAAGCTATATCTTCTGATGGGTCCCAACACGATTCCTTCTTGCTAAATATGGTTAAGGACATGATGCGGTCAGTATAGAATTTATAGATTTAAAATTATCATTTCAACGCTCACACAAGCTTGCATAGTTAACTCAGGACCTACTGTATTCCTTCTTTTTTTTTTTTGCAGGAGCCTGAGATCTTTAGCTATTTTTCTAGCTGAACAGCCTAGCCAACTCAAATACATAGAGTGGCCTACTTTCCAAGACACGGTTTGTACCTGTTTAGTATTTTTCATATTTCCTCCTACATATATAGCAAGTTAGTTTGTCTAAGTAAAATGACTTACTTTTGAACTCCTTTCTCTTTGGTTTCTGTTTGGATACTCATTTTTAGTAAGGGAGACAATCAATCGATGTCAAATGCACATAAGGATGTGCTAGAATGGTATTGAACGATTAATCATTACTTCAGATAATTGTCGCTGGTGATGTTGCACCGAACAACCACGTCCGAAAAGCCTTATGCACCTATGTTATTTTAAGTTGCAAGTTTATTTGCACCCAATTTTGATATAATTCACACGTTGCAAGTGTTTTTGCAACTGCGGTTGCAACTTAAACAAGCTAGTTGCAACGAAACAAACACTTGCAACTAGGGAAAACTAACTCAGTTGCGTGCAACTGCAACTAGCTAGTTTCAACGAAACGAGCACTTGCAACTTGATAAACGTGACTCTGTGTTTGGAACTGGAGAGAGTGGTAGCTTTCAATTTCAGGTCAATGTTTTTATGGGAAAGTAATAATGGGAAAGACAGAACATGCTTTTAGTAGTCTCACACAGAGAAGGCTGATGTGCTTCACATCCGTAAGGGTGTGTGATCCAATCCAATCCACTCCAATAGGAAGATATGCAGTTCAAGCTGTGAACCGAGAGGCCATATTTCATTCTGATGGTCAATACCGATGCTTGTGCCATCATATCATGCTGAGACTCAACAAACAAGATTGAGCTATTTAGTGCTTTAAGGATTTTTAACTGTGTACCCAGTGTCCTTGAACATCCACTTTGTTGGATGTGATGATCTCCACCAATCCATCTTAAGTTATATTCCATGTATGATCACGGAAACATCTGGTTCAGTAAACCTCTTTTTTCATTGTCAATCATCAATCTGGACTGCTGTTCGTAGTTCAGTAACTTCAGTTACCATCATCTTTATCAACCATTCTACATGCAGCTTGTTTTTTGACAATATCCTTTTCATTCATACTGGAAGGGAAAACAACCATCAAGTGTTACCTTTAGTAACTAAATATCTCCTCCTTGCGAATGACACCTTCACCATTTTAGGTAATACCTGATGTAAATTTTGTCAATAAAACTGTCATTTGAAGTCTATTTTAACTTTGATCAGTGTATTTTACTGTTTGGGGTAGGCCATACCAGACGACCAGTAAGTGCCATCCCTTTTAACAATATTGATTTTATCTTCATTCGGGTAAGAAAAGGAAGTCCATCAGCAATATAGGATATGATATATGAATTTATCTTCTTTCTTATTTTGTTTGGGAGTTTGATCGATTTAACTGGTCAATGTAACACCAACCATTGTCTATTTTGACGACAATGTAGCTTTCTTAGAAGTGAGTTGCAGGGCGCAGTCTATGATGATGCATCTGTGGCAGCATCATGAAAGGCATCCAAGTTACCTTTGAATGTGTTCCTGTTTTTACTGATGAGAAACAATTGATGATGCTTATGTATCACAAAATAAAATTGATTACTCCCTACATTTACTGATATTATTTACTCAAAATAATTAAGTCCAAAGGTGAGCAAGTTATCCGATATTAGTTTCGAGTATTTTTTTCTGATTATTCTTTTGATGAATAAACTTGGACATGGGATAACACTTCCGTATGGCCTTGCTCCATTCATCTTTATGACCGGATTTTCTAATTTATGGTTTAGCGGCTTTATATCCTACCCTTTTGTTTTCACTCCCCCTAACATTAAAATTATAATCTAATTTTATCCATTATTATATCCAAATATAACTAATGATATTGATTAATCAAATGAATAAGCTATATGCATCTTTCCATTAAGTAATAAGATGACTCTGCTGATATTATTTGCAAGCCAAGTCTTTAGGGGTCATGGAGGGATCTGTAACTAGAATGCTGCATGTGATAATTCTTGATTTTTGATGGATAATGCCATGGCTTGGGAGTGGGGAGTAATTTGTTAAAATACTATCAAACATCAGTGGGTTGTTTAATTAGTTTCTCTCGGTGATTATTTCTTTTCTGGGCGTTGTGGCTTATTTTTATGTGATGTAGGAATTAGGATGCTATATTACCTGTGACATACAGTATTTTGTCATTACTAGCATTAGTCCAGTCGTTTAGCAGGAACACCTTTGTATGTTGTGCCACACATGAAAATTACATTTTGTAGACAGTTTTCAACTTCTGATTCAATTAAAACAGCTTCACTTATGCTGTGTTTCACTAAACTAAACAAAAGTTTCCTCTGTTTATCATACCCTTGACTGACGAGACGTGTTTTTGAAGTTTTCGATGTTTTTGGCCATTTATTTTCTAAAATCATGGTTCGTGTATTTCTTCATGGCCTTGCTGATAATTTGGTTCTTCTGCAGTGGAAGACTGCTACTCTTACCCTTGTGCTCATGGCCTTGCTGATAGTTGCATTATCCACGGTGGACTCTTCTCTCTGTTATGTATTGACTCTGTTGCTGAGAAGAGCTGCATAATATCAGGTGCAGAATTTAGGGTGCCATTATGTCATCATATGCATCTGATAGACTAAATTTATCGTTAGGTATCCTTGTCATTATCGACTTATCGAATTATTTTGCAATTTGGGATTTATTAGCAGCGGGCTAAGACTGCAATGAAGTTCATCGGTATGAGGTGAGCCAGAAGGGGATCATTCTGGGATGTACACTGTTGAGAGATGCTATTGATCTCATATTACCATCTCTTTTTTCTCTCTAACAGGCTATTTGAATGTAATGCCTTAAGTTTCCTGCACTATTTATTTTTCAAATATCTTAATCGAAAAATTGTATTATTCTGAATAAATTTTATTTTTTTTGTGTCTAATAAATTGAATAGATTACTTGAGATCTAGAATTGCTAGAGATTGATGTAATCCAATTTTATTTTGCAAATGAGATCAGAGCAGGAAGAGAATATATAAGTTTGTCAATTTGTTCTAAAAGTTTTAACGGACATTTAAAATAATTGTAGAGAATTTAAATTTTGGAAACTTGCAGAAATCTTTTGATAATTTTATTACTAATGTTTAAGATGATACCATTTAAAAATCCAAAATTACAAACTATAATCTTTAATTCTGGAAAGTAGATAAGTTTCCTACTTTTTAAGCAAAACCATCGTAAGCAAATTAAATGAATGCAGTGAACTGGTAAACTACAAGAGTAATGTTTATTTTAGTTTGTGATGATCCTCCTCATAGAATGACCTTCCGCAGACAATCTTTTGGAGGGAATCATTGCTGACTCTATAGTTTGCTTACTTCTGGTCATTTGCGTAGTTTTATTGCCTGGTATGTTTTCTCTTTCTTCAGTTTGGCGTATTTTTGTTGTTATTGGGATATTTCATTGAACTCTTATCAACAACACAACCAGGAGGAAAAGTATCTTTAAAAAAATTACAATGGACTCTGCTTACCTTTGGGGTATATAAAACACAGAGACATTCAGAGAGCAGAGCATTTCTTTCTGCAGTTGAGCAGGATGTAACAAACCTAACACGATCAGAAACTCCTTCAGTTTCAGCCAACTCTTTAAGTTCCTCTAGATACTCGACATTTTCCTTCAGACGTTTGTCAAAGCCACCTGAAAAACAAAACCATCGTAAGCAAAATGAATGCAGTGAACTCATAAACTACAAGAGTAATGTTTATTTTAGTTTGTGATGATCCTCCTCATAGAATGACCTTCCGCAGACAAACGTCAAGTAAATGTAAATGTGAATGAGCATAAATGAAAAGACAAGCTATCATATATGATAACAAAAGAAAATATCATCAAATTCATAACGGAGCGGTTACATTTATGGACGATCAAAGAAAACCCGTAAATCAAAAAATATATTAGACAGTGATATTGCAACAAAGAGAAAACAATAAACATTGGTAGCAATCACCTGCAATTGTCAAGGTAGCTTCAGATAAGCTTTGGTCAGGAAGAGTACTCCCCAAGGAACGGAGCAGTGCAAATGCCGAAATTGCCAGTTGAAGATTCTTCTTTCTTTCAAATCGATTAACAGAAAGGAAATTCAACCTGAAAAAAAAAATTTTGAGTAACAAGAGAAGAGGTTACCAAGTAGCAACAACATCTAGCTATTTGATCTGTAGTTACTTAAGGTATATACAAGCAGAAAAATTCCCCAATGACCCAAAATATGGGACCAATAGAGGGGACAAGTGAGGTGTCCCCCTTCTATTGGATAATGAGTTGGCCATCATTAATGATGACCAACTCATTATCCAATAGGAGAGGGACACCTCACTTGTCCCCCCTATTAGTCCCATATTTTGGGTCCCTGTAGCAAAGCTCATACAAGGATGTCAGTTACATATAAGCACAAGGTCCATCAAATTGGCCCATGTTTGACTGCAGGGTAAAGAATATCAGGTCTGACTCCTCTTGAACGAAGACATAAGAATGTCTTTGCAAATGTAGATGCGGTGAATCCGCTGTTAACAAGTACTAAATCTGCCATACCTGCAAAGATCATTATCATTTAGTCTAGGCACTAGATAAACATGAGCAATAAAGAGAAAAGACCAGTTCGATACATGCATGTTAAGAAAAAAAGAGTAGCTGATATTTTCAAAAAAATGAAAAGAAAAAGGAATGCATACGAGACAGACCAGTAGTTGTATGTTGCGCAAGTAACAAATCCGGAAAATGACAGTAGAAAATTATCTGGCAACAAAATAATAATAATTATTAACATGTTTATCATAGTTCAGATATATCTCCATCGATCAAAACAGTGTTTTGGTTACAATGGTAACAACATTAATGGCTACATTGGCTCTAAAACAAAAGGAAAAGAAACACAAAAAGCAGGGGAAATCAATTGTTCAGTATTATGCATGAAGAAAAGAATGCTTGCCGAAGTGATTACCTCCGTTGATCTTTTGAATTTCATGAGGGGAACGACTATATATAGAGACCTGGTCTGCCAATACAATGTCGAAAGATGACCAGAAGAGAAGCACACAAATGGCAACAAAGATACATCGAATACATATGCACACACTGCATGGAAGCGGTAGAAAATATGGCGAGGCAAGAAATCGCGGTATACATGACGCATCTTGTATTATTTGATTCCAGATATACTAAAAAGCCGAAGAACCGGCTATTAAAGATTTTATTCCTCAAGATTCTCACCAGCAATTGTTTCCTCAAATCTTTAGGGTAGCATGGCTAAAAATGATGCAAACATTGGGTACTCAAGTGCAATTAACACTGAAAAATACAGAGAAGCCACTATGATTTCAAGTCTTGGCATTGTGGTAATGTTTGGGGAGCAACAAGACAAAAAAAAAGAACTCTGATCCAACTAACAAACTAATATTTCTCCCAGTATCTTGGTCAGGTCCAACTTGACGTGAACTTTAACATCCCTTCCTCTTTCAGAATTCAATGATACTACTTAATCAAAATTGACTCGCTACATTTTTTTTTCAAATGCTTAAATTTCAACTCTCAAACAAGTTTCCACCCCTCTTGTTAAAAGTTCGACAAATATAATAGAGGAACACACAGTATGAGTCGGATAAAACAGACAATGAAACAAATATTGATTCAAAAATGATAGTGCTACTGTCAATTTGTTACACATACTTCGAATCCCATAACCATTAAAGCTACTGCAGTCACACCTTCAACAAATTAAGCCAACCACGTACACTCGAGTGGTGTTCTTCCTGCCAATATTCCTAGCTTAATTTTCGAGCAAATTTCCTCCTTGCTCATCACACCACCTCTCAATTCATGAATATTATCGACAAATTTGTTTCAAACATAATCGTCGAAAACCTGAACATTCAGCCAATTAACAAGAAATTAAGCTTAGGCAGTTGAAACAGTATCGACTAGAGTTATTTCTGCTACCATGAGCAGAACAACACAATTCATAATGAACAGAAATCAGTGAAGTACCCTAATTAAGCGTGGGTTTGCCCACCAAGAAATTATTTCGATCATAAACCCGATATCAAAATCTTTTAATTTCTTGAAGCTTTACAGATCAGAACAAAAACTTTGGGGATAATCCATCAATTACAACTTGAAACTGTTTAACTACATATGAGCAGAAGAAGTACCTAAATCACTAACATTATTCAAACAGAGAGAAGTATTGGAGTGCAGACACGTCAATCAACACCCAAAAACTGTGAATTCCACTCCATAATTTTGCATTTACTCCCTGCATGCAGAAGCCTGCACAAGCTCTCATGGGCTTGCGTGTAGGAAGTTGATGGCAATCGCGATCGAAAGAACAGTAG